GGAAGAGGAAGGATGATATGACAGTACCCTGAGGCACCCCTGTGCTGCTCAGGATGTTATCCGAGCTCTTCAGCTGGACATGCTATGTTCTGCCATCTGCTCTCACTCAATGTTCATTGGTTCATTAACTTGTGCCCATATTAAATGTTCCATTTTAATCTACATCTGGTCTTTACATCGCTCGTGTTGCTCACTTGAAAATTTTTTAGTCTGTTTTCATTTAAAGTTTCTGCTGCCAAAGATCAGCTGATGATCTGTAAAAAATATTAAACATGGAAAAACTGGACTATTTGACCAGTGCAGTGTTTCCTCAATCACCTGTCTGTCTCCTGCTTATTATGGTCTATTAAACTGGACTTTGCCATGCACTTCCTTTTTTGTTTTTAATTTAAACCACCGTTAATGGAAATGCTGCAAAATAAAATGAAAGTGTATTTTCTCCACAGGTGCCTGTTTCTGGCTCTGACACAAATGGCACTGAGTCCTTCTTCTCTACAGACCAGAAGATTTTAACATACATTTCTCTGATTGGCTGCAGTCGCTCTCTTTTTGCCCTCATCATCACTGTTTTGCTCTTCATCACAAATAGGTAATTATTATTATTTTTTGCTTGATGACATTCTTTAAACTTTAACCCTCCTTTCCTCCACATTTTTAGTAGCATCCTCCTGTCCTGGTCCCATGATTTCTCCAGCATCTGCTTCTGATGTTTTATCAGTTAATTATCCTTTTTTCCTTATCCCATCGTCTCTTTTCATCTTGCAAGAAATTTCAGATTTTCTTCTATATTTATATTATACATTCTTTCTTCTCTGACTGGATTTTGACCAAACAGGATATGACCAAATAATCTATGTGAAAGTTGTGACTTACCATGAATCACATCTCCTGTATTTGCCAGAAAAGTCAGAGAACGTGTCTCTATGAAGGTCCACATGGCTCTTGCTCTTCACTACTCCCTGCTGGCCACTTTCAGCTGGATGGCTTTGGAGGGATTCCACCTCTACCTTTACTTTGTCCAAATCTTTTACATCAATGTCAGCAGATACCTGCTCAAACTCAGCGTGGTGGAATGGGGTGGAGTCGAGTACTCCAAACAGGAAGTTCTCTTTATCAGATTATCGTCTTTATCAGGCAGACCAATGAAAATGCAATGTAAGGAATGAATTTGCCAGCATGTAAAAACTCGTGAAATATTTTACATTCAGTTTTTGGCAGTATCTCCAGCTTCCATGAAACTGCAATCTAAGAAACAAATTTGAATGCAAAATCTTAACTAATTTTTATTTATTAACTTTTTTGTATGTGCATCAGAATTTCTGTTTACTTGCATTGTTAGAAGAAAAAAAGAATACAATTTGTTTTGGTTGATACACTGACTCACCTACATATTTGTAACAGAATGCCTTAATTGCTTTTCAATGTGTAACATTTTTATCATCATCTATTTCCTTTCTTTGTAGGTGCTATATTACCCAAGGCATAATGAAAATGGTGACTACAGTGGGACCGTTCGTCATTGTGTTTCTCTTTAACATGATTATGTTTGCGGTGACAATCAGATGTGTATTCACTGTCGGCCAAAGCAGAGAGGTAATTTTTTTCATCTTTTTAAAATGATCTTGAAGATAAGTCCGATCTTATCAAGATGGTGTAGGAGTGAAGGCAGCCTTTAACCCATAATTTCCTTAGGGATTAATAACGTTCAATCAATCAATATATCAATCAATCAATCAATCAATCAATCAATCAATCAATCAAGATCATTCACCTTTTTTAAATTTCTATCCTCTTTTTACTTGATAAAAATACTCTACAATGGGTTGTCTAATTTGGCTTTTTTAAATAAAAATTTATGTACTTGTAATATTTTACCATCACGACTTAAAATTTAGTTTCCATTACACACACACTGTATGAGTAAACAGCCGTCTGTTAAGAGAACGCAATTTCAAACAAACTGAAAGTTTTCTTTTCAAGGACTCTGCAGGTCATCTATAGCCTGCTGTATTATGTTTCTTTCTATATTTGTTAAATCATTTTTGGACAGACTGAATGCAATAGAGCCATGCACAGCATGTGTCCCCCTCTGGGAGTAGGCATTCTGCTTAGCCTTCCCTGGGGCCTGGTCTCCTTCTCATTTGGACAGCTGTCCACTGCTGGCCTGTACCTCTTCTGCATCCTGAACTCACTGCAAGGTCTGTACAGTCTGCCACTATGTGTGTTTCTGTTGAAGGGACTTATGAGGATTAGCCTTTCAACAAAGTTAAGGTAAACTTCTGATCATATGCAACATGGGCAAACCATAATTTGCCCAAAAAGTCACTAGTTAACGTGCGCATGTTACACCCCTGAAAACAGGGGGAAAAGAATTACAAGAGTGATTTTGACATGCTTCTCTCATGCAGTTGTTTATTGCAATCAAAATGAACATAAATATTTCACATTCTGTACTGCTTAATGTCACATGGTGGAAAGAAAAGCTAAATAATAAACCAAAATAATAAAGTGCTTTCTATACATATACCTGAACAGGTTTCCTGACAAAATGGTTGTAGCTCCTGCCGTTAGCTTAATGGCCATTATACTGTATAAAACTGAGGCACAAAACTGCCGTGTCTATGTGCACAAAACAACTGTAATATAATGCTTCTAAAGCTTACAAAACAGTGAAGGGTTACCTATTACCTTCTACATGCATTTCTAAATCCTTTGCTAATTCATAAAAACTGCATAAAACCTAAAAAATTTGCTTTGTTTGTTGTTCAGATGTAATAATATTCCTGTTAACACAACTAGTTTAGAGCAGACTGATGCTTTATTAAGTTAAATAAGCAGACGCTTACTCAGCACCGTGGTTGTTGGTGGTACACATGGTGTCGTAGTTCTGCCGGTGGGTACATGGCGTGCACATTGTTTGTGTAGTCCCGCCCGGTGCTGGTTGTAATGGATGAGCTACTCTACTTCTCCTCCAGCGCCTGCAAACGAGGCACAAAACAGACAAACAGACCGACAGAAAGTGAGTTGTCACACAGTGTTGGGGAGTAGCGTAATACGTGTACCGCTGTTATGTATTTAAAATGCAAAATATGAGTAACTGCATTCTGTTACAGTTACCATCTAAAAAGGTGGTATTTAGAATACCAGCGTGGGTTGTCACACTATCCAAAGTTCACGGGCAGGGGAGGTTATCCCAGCCTGCTTCAGGCTATTAAACAATGCAGCCTGAAATAGCACCGACCAGAGCTAACACAGCTTAGAATCACCATTTAACTTAATTTGCACATTGTCAGCCTGCTGGAGGCTGAAGTACCTGAGATAAACACATGCAGGAATAGGTTGAACGCGTGAGATGGCACTGTAAGTGACCGATTAAGCACATCTAATAAAAGTAAAAATGATTTAAGATAAAGGTGCTCATCCTCCTGCTCATCTGGGGGACCATCAGTGGTTTCCCAGGCCTTCCAAGAGACATAATCTCTTATTTTTTATATTTTTAAATGTTACCACTGTTTAATTTACACAATATTTTGTATTATTTCACTTGAAATCTGTAAAATTTTTAGAAAAGCTTTATATGTAATCTGGTGTAGTGGAAGCATCAGTTTCACACAAACTGATTTCTAACAGATGGAGAAGTTGGAGTTTTTCCTGAACAGGCCCACCTCCCTGGTGGATTTTCTTTGTTTAGGGTTTTTGGGATATCCCGTCTAACACATGACTAATTAATGTGAAAGCCTCTGCTAAAATCTGACAAGAGCGATGTTTTTACTATTCATCATGTGGTGTGCTAAACCAAATGTGAATTGTGCTAACATGTGAGATTTTCAATTATTTTGAGCAAAGTATTTCAAAACATTACTCTAATACAGAGGCGGGGGACTCTAGCCCCCGAGGGCCGGTGTCCTGCAGGTTTTAGATGTGTCCTTGATCCAACACAGCTGATTTAAATGGCTAAATTACTTCCTCAACATGTCTTGAAGTTCTCCAGAGGCCTGGTAATGAACTAATCATTTGATTCAGGTGTTGACCCAGGGTGAGATCTAAAACCTGCAGGACACCGGCCCTTAGGCTGGAGTCCCCACCCCTGCTCTAATAGAACTACACAAAGTAAAAAACAAACAAACAAACAATCATATTAAATTTTAAACTTGATTTGTTGCGCTTTTGTCTTTTTGTGGCAAATTAATGAAACTCAAACCTTACGTGTAGCAAAGTGGAGACACCAAATCTGAACAAAACAGAAGAAAATATTTTAGATTTTTCTTTAAGATAATTTAAGTGCTGTGGTTTAAAGAAACTATCAACCTAAACTATTTATCTTCTGTCCCCTGTAGTAGGCATAAGAATCTGTCTCATCTTATTGAATTGACCACAACTAAGAGCCAGTAAATTCGGATTCTAGTTTATCTGAATCATGCTGTGAACACATGATCTGAACTTCTAGTTTTTTCTCTAAAACCTGGTTTATGTAAACAGAGGGCCACCTGTTTGGTGGTTTGGGGCAATGTTGTTTTTGTTGGGTTTATGTTTTATTATTGTCATTTGTGCATAGAAATTTATAATCATTTATGCTTAGAAGTATATAAATGTTTGTAGATTGATAGAGGTTTGATCCTTAGCAGTCTGTAAAGACTCTGTGTGCCTTCCAGAGTGTTCTGGCATGCACACACACACCCTAAGGTCATGAGAGAGGTCATACCTTCTCTTTCTAATTTATACTTTAGGAGGACACCTACTCTGTATATGCTTAAAACAAACCATCCTAGGTGAACTTCAACGCCTTTGTTCCTCTTTTGTTAAGACATAGAAAAAGCACCACACAAAAATACTGCATAAGGAAACCAACAAGGATACCCAATGGATTTACTTTGCCAAATGGATCATCGTAGCATTGCCGTATTGGTCCATTTGGTCGATCTTTGTTTTTATTATTTATTATATTTTATTTTCAGATGTTACAGACGGGACAGACATGAGTGAGAGACAGGAAAGGGAGAATGTTAGTGGAAAATGATTCTATGTTTCTTTACCTTCTTTTAAATGTACAAAGATGCCTTTTCTCTGCCCTTTGTCTATGGTTAGATTAGTTTAGAATTATCCTTTTAGACTTTCCCAGCGAAGACATATTGTTTTGGGACATATTGTTTTAGATTGTTTTATCTCTCACAGCTTTCTCCCAGCTCTCTGCTGACGAGACTAGCGCCACATATGGAGTTGTTTATTTTATCTGTTTATTATTTTCTTATCCTGTTCTCACTGTCTTTCCTATAAAAAGTGCCAAGCCTCTGTTCACGACGTGAGTTGTTCTCAGCAGCTCACCCGTGTACACGTTTAGCAAAGAAAGTAACTTTGTCTCATTGTGTCTTTATTTCTCCTGGGTTTTTTACAGAGTTTTCCCCCAACATTTCTTGGTCCTTCGAGCCGGAGCGCCTCCATCGTGTCCCATCTCCGTGACCAGTCCACGTTGTTCGCCTGTCGACAGCTCACACACCAGGTGTGTGGAAAAAGACCAAGAGCGTTAAATTCGGGTCTTGGCCAACGTCTTAGAAAGCGACCCACGGTGGTGGGGCCCGATCGAGGTGGACCAGACCCGGCGACACTGACCAGGTAGATACAGACACACTGACACAATCTTGCGTAAAACGTATTTTAAATTCAGGGAATTTAAAATAGCGGAAGTAGCTCGTCGACTGGTAGCTCTGGGAGCTCGTCGACTGGTAGCGTAGCTCGTCGACTGGTAGCTCTGGGAGCTCGTCGACTGGTAGCTTTGGAGCTCTGGGTAGCTCCCCCAGCTGGGTCTAGACTGGGTCTAGGGAGTAAGTAGCTCTGGGAGCTCCCCTTATCATAAGGGTTCCGGTCGCGCGCGCGTCGAAGCTGTGAATGTGAATGTGTGTGTGTGTGTGTATTGTTTTAATTTACGGAGCAAGCTGAATTTTCACGGTCCAATAAGAGACTGAGCTGCTCCTACTGTGTTTTTCTTTTACTGCTGTTCACTGACGTGCTGGTGAGTTGAGAGAACGGTCGAGTTCCGTCTCGTAAAGTTCACACCGCTTTCGGAACTAGTCCGAAAGTCGAAGGGCGTGTGAGCAACCACTCTCGTCTCTAATACCAGCGAAGGTGATAGCAGCTGTATCGTGTATATATTACTTAAACAAAAATAAGTAAATACATAAATAAGATGGGTAATCAAGCAAGTGAAATTAAAACTCACTCCTGCTGACGAGCAGTGGTGAGAAAAGAAAAGTCCAGACGCCGGACAAAACAATGTCTGTAAATTGAGAGATTTAAGAAAACAAAATATAAACAGTCAGAAGAACAGAACTCAACTGCCAGTTTAGTAAAACCAGAAGACGAGACACTGTGCAGTGCCCACAATCCTTTTAGTAAACCAACACTCATTCCTGCAGCCGCATCTGCAGCAACACCCATATCAGGAAGAACATAATAATCCCTTATTAAGTGAAAACTAGAGATCACAGTAGTTTGAGGTAGTTTAAAAGGGTTGAAAACAGACCCCACTGAGTAGATATAAATATAAAAAGTACGAAATAAAGATAAACAAAGGGAAAATTACAGTAGAAATTATCTTTAGAGTATTTGAAATTAATAATAGCAAGGATAACAACCTGTAAAGTGATATTAACAATGAAACACAGTTGGCATGATGACCATGCCCACAATGTATAAAATGGATATAAAGCAAATAATTCACACGAAAATATTTTAATAACATAAATAAAGTATATTAAGGCTGTGTCACTGTTCAGCCAAGGACAGTGTGTGAAAAGGTAACTGTCTCCACCTTGGGAAAAGGATGATACTGCAGGTCATCTGAAGCCCTTGATGGATACAAAATAAAATATAAATAATATAATAGAACTGCCTGGTCCGCCATGCAACAGAGAGAACAAATGTGACCGCAGATTGGATGAATTCTAAATGATCTGTTTGCTGAATAAGATGATCCTAACTAACAAATTGGCTCAGTAGTAGTATAATGGTACACACTGATAAAATATTATAATATGCTATTGCTGTTATATAAGACAAAGAGGATAATATTAACAATGACATAATATTAATATGAAGAGGCACCTTAGTCGGTTATGATGTGAGGTGGATAATTGTTAAGCAGTAGTCTGCATCAAGCTTAAGGTTTGCTGAAACTCAGTGTAATGACATGTGAGATGAAGACAATACAGAGAATAACTAAACTAATGAAGTGCATAGAGGCACTTGACCAGCTTGAAACCTATCATCCTAGAATGACACATTGCTGAGATATAGAGCACACCTATAATAACAACCAATAAGCAAAACCCTGTAGACAACAGCTAAAACTACAGGATTGAGAAGCTGAATTAAATATGTAGACACTGCTAAGCTGATGAGCATGTTACACATTTTCTTTTCTTTTTATTTATTTGTTTCTTTTAGAGCAGAAGCTGCTGTAACACACCCAAAGAAAGACTCTAGGTCTGACCAACCGTCTCAGTCGTGGGCAAAAAGATGACAGTCAATAAAATTCTAAAAGATAATTTATTGACGAAAAATATATCAAGAGATAAAAGATAAAACAGTCCAGTGTCCCACTTATGAATTGTATAAAAACACACAGTCCCAAGGCCAGAGCCAGCTATGCCACACAGCCAAGTTGCACTCCACATGTTGCCTTTAACAGGGTTAGAAGTTGTCCTTGGAGACCCACCACCCTGCAAGCATATAGTCAGTGGTCACTCAAGCCTCTGCAACCCTGCTGCCTTTAGGCTGTGGCATATAATAGGCCCTGGACTGCACAGAGAGACAAAACGACACACTTAATATAAAATTCATAGCGCAAAACCCATCCATCCCAAACATATCTGATTTCATCACATTACATACCTGCACAGAGAGACAAAACGACACAGCAGTGTTTGTAGTGTGGGCTATAAGTAGACCAGTGTATCAGTGCAATCAAGTACACTTGCCTCTAATTAGTCCAACGCCATTCCAGCCATTGGCTCACCAAAAATGTGACACACACAAAACCACTCCCAACCCAGTGCAACTTGACACAATAATATGGAGCTGAATTAACACAGGCACATTAGTCTACCATGTTACAAGCTGCATGCTATTAAAAGCCAACATATGCAGACTTCTGCCTTGTTCGGGTGGCAGCATTTTTTCTTTTTTCTTTTGTGTCCTGACACGTTTATGTTTTTGTTTTTGTTTGATTATTTTGTTGGTTTTGGAAACAAATTTAAACGAACTTGTGACAATACTTGAGAATCACAGTGACACAGTGATTAGGCATATGATTGGAAAATGCCTAGGTTTAGAGCTGTGAGCTATGAGCTGTGAGCAATGCAAAGTTAAATATATATATGTATAAATGGGAAACAACCCTAACTTGAAAGTTTGAAATGTGTGAGATCCATGACTTGTTTGAAAAACTAGAAATTATCTAAAAATGCCTTAAGTGAAAATGTAGTGTTGCATCTATTCTCCCAAACCAAGACAAAAAAAGAAGCAGCATTCTGTAACTTAAAAATAAGGCTGACGTGTTGACAATAGACTAAAACACTAATTCGCAGGTGGCTATCAGGAACAGAGAGGCGAGCAAAGTCACAAACACCAAGGCTGCAGACAGCCACGCAGAAACAGCAGATAACATAGAGACAACGCCTGCTAGAACCGTGGAGAGGAAGGTCACTTCACACGAGATTGTAGGAGTAGGCCACAGAGAAATAATGCAAAACAGTTTTGAGGCAGCCACTTAAGAACTTACAGTTTTCAAAGGACAAATTAGTTGTAAAGTCAGCTGCAGGCCACACAACTGTACAACAATTAACTGCCCCTTTAGAACTAGTACATACAGCAAGTGGCCGCAGGTGCTTTATTAAATGCATATGACCCGTTGTGTCCAGTAAATTTGCTAGGTAGAGACGCTCTGACAAAACTTAAGATAGCAGTCATGGCATTCTTTTCTGGTATTACACCTGAGTGCATGCTAAATGACACCCGCCACATCCACTTTCCAGAAACCGACCGAGTATCACAACATTCTGAGATTTAAACAAACTCCAGGCCCAGATCCACCTTATGATCAGCAAGTGTGGAAGCTAGGAGAACAGCACTTGACCTTACAGCACAGGCCGAAATTGTGTAGGTTACGCAGTGACCACAGATAGTAGAATAATAGAAGCAAAACCACTTTCTTGTTCATATTCTGCACAGAGCGCTGAGCTGTTAGCTGTGATTTGCGCATGTGAAATACACAAAGATAAACAAATAACCATTTATATAGACAGCCAGTATGTTTTCTCTGCTGTGCATCATTTTGCAAAAAATTTGGAAAACCAGAGGAATGATTACACCAACCGGAAAACCAGTTCAGCATGCCAACCTCTTACAACGCCTCTTTCATTGCTACAGGCAATAACTTTGCTGACAGAGCAGCAAAACAGGCGGCACAAAAGACAAACATCACATTGATGGCAGTAAACACACATCAGATTCCACTGGATGTGTTGAAAAATGAACAAAAAGCAGCAAGCACAGCAGAGCAGGCAAAATGGCTAAAACACGGTGCAGTTCTGACAAACGACTTAATGATGTGTTATGGCAAGCCAGTGTTGCCAAAATTCCTCCACAAAATGGCGGCATTAGTGACTCATGGCTGTACGCATTTGTCATCGGGGGGAATGACCTGTATTGTCAACTCTCATTTCTACACTGTAAATTTTGAAACTTCAGCAAAACAATTTGTCAGAACGTGCATGACGTGTCAAAAACCTCACCCTTTTCACACAATCCACATGGACTTTATTGAGCTAAATGAATGCCAAGGGTAAAAATACGCCCTAGTGGTTATAGATGTATTCTCAAAGTGGCCAGAAATCTACCCAGTGAAAAAGGCAGATACAATTTCAGTAGCAAAATGTATGTCTAAGTTGTAGGAAAATAAAGAGATGATTGTAAATAACGAAGAATGTAATGATGTCTATCAAGTGTCTTGCAGATTACAGCCCGGTGACTGGGTTCTGATAAAGGTGCTCCAAAGGAAAAACTGGAGCGCACCCAGGTGGGAGGGACCACATCAGGTTCTCCTCACCACGCCCACCGCTTGCAAAATTGCGGAACGACCATCCTGGATCCATCAGAGTCACTGCAGGCGAGTAAGTGAAGCCATCTAAACTCAGTCGACACAGGCTCGCCCAATTGTTGTGATCTCGCCCGGTGGAGGGAACAGCCTTTCTGGCCGGGGGGTCTACTCACGACAGGAGGGTGTGTCCTGTTGTCATGAGGTGGTGGCTCCTAATAACTGCAGCGGCCCTGACCCTGGCCGGGCTCCTCATCTTTGCTTCCGTGAGGGACAACAAGTCACGCTATCTGAAGAAACGGCAGACACTGTATGACAAAGGAAAGTACACCAAGTTTCCCCATGGCTACGCCACTAACTTCTGGTGGCAGCTTATGAACACTACAGCTCACCTGAATAATAAAACTGACTGCTATGCATGTACCCATATGCCCCTATCCTCACAGACGTCTGGCCTGTGGCCGTACAGCATACCTGAAGATCGCAGTTGGTGCCTGTTGGGCCTGGCAACACATCCAGGCTACGGTACTCTTTGGTCCAAGGCCAACTACAGCATCCCAGCTAAAGCAACCTGGAGGTCATCGTCACTCACGAATGTGCACTGTTCCGGACAGACCTACCTACTGACCTGGCCCCAAGTCTCAGACCCACTGCCTGATGTAATTCTACTGAACAAACTGAACGCATCACAACTGCCAGTATGTGTGATGAACAATGGATCGCGGGCAGTGGGGGAGCTGCCTACTCACCTATGTAAGTACATATACACTTTCTGCCCACCGAGGAATGAGAGGAAGTGTATGGCCTGTTCAACCAACACAACCTGTGCCAGGAACGCGACGCTGATGAGCCTCAACTGTCGCCCCGACTACAGCTACCGAATGCCACTACAAACAAAGACTCAGTACCAGACAGGATGTGCACGGACGGCACCCAGCAGTAGAGGAACCAGAGTTTTGGCTGACTGGTACTTCCTATGTGGCAATAAGGCTTATCTGTCACTCCCTGAAGGTTGGGGGGGTCTGTGCGCCCTGGTGCAATTATCAGATCACGTCTTCTTCATGCAACGTGTTGCACATCACCCAAGCCGCCGACAGAGACGTGAAGTGGACATCGCCTCCCCCAATTCTTTCGGCATTACAGTGGACACTGGAGTGCCGGGAGAGTTTCGCATCTGGGGAGGAGGAGCGAAATTCTTACAGAGCTTGGTCCCCGGCATTGGAGTTGCCGAGGTGCGGGATCACGTGGAAATCAACCGATATGCTCTGCTACGACACATCAACTTAACTAAGGCCCTGGGAACGGCCTTAGCAGGAGAACAGCAGGCCATCAGAACGATGGTGCTGCAGAATAGACTGACACTAGACCTGCTAACAGCATCACAAGGAGGAGTTTGTAAGCTGATCGGGGAGACATGTTGCACTTTTATCCCTGATGGATACGAAGCTGGAGGAGACATTTATGAAGCTTTGCAGAATTTGACCGTTTTGCAACAATATGTCACTGACCACACACCTGGAGCAGCTACAGCACAAGGCTGGCTGGACTGGCTGTTCGGCGGTCCATGGCTGGCTGCTGTAGCAAAACCGTTTGTCCTTCTAGGTCTCATCATGATAGCACTGCTCATATTAGTGTTGTGTGTGTTGCCATGTCTAAGAGTAATGATTTCAAAGATGATAACAACTACAATGACTGCTTATGTTGCCGTGCCTCAAGAAGAACAGCATCCCGTTGCAATTCTGTTAGAGGAACTTGTAATAGCTGCTAATAAATGACGTGGTGATTAAAAATGACTTGTCAAGTGATCATGCACTGATTAACACATTAGTAGTTTATACAGGTACAACATAAGGTTTTCTTATTCTTTTATTTTTTTATTTTTTGTAGTTTTAGTTTTATTATTTTTCTTCATTATTACTTTTATATTTTCTTTTACTGTGTCTTCCTTAATTCTTTTATTCTTTTATTGTTTTATTCTTTAGGCCACATGATTTACATTTCTGCTTTGTTGACATTTTGACCATTAAAAAATTGCTAAAGATACTTAATAAATAACCTTCACAGACAATTGTTGTATACATTTAAAATAAGTTAAAACAGGAGGGAATGTTAGTGGAAAATGATTCTATGTTTCTTTACCTTCTTTTAAATGTACAAAGATGCCTTTTCTCTGCCCTTTGTCTATGGTTAGATTAGTTTAGAATTATCCTTTTAGACTTTCCCAGCGAAGACATATTGTTTTGGGACATATTGTTTTAGATTGTTTTATCTCTCACAGCTTTCTCCCAGCTCTCTGCTGACGAGACTAGCGCCACATATGGAGTTGTTTATTTTATCTGTTTATTATTTTCTTATCCTGTTCTCACTGTCTTTCCTATAAAAAGTGCCAAGCCTCTGTTCACGACGTGAGTTGTTCTCAGCAGCTCACCCGTGTACACGTTTAGCAAAGAAAGTAACTTTGTCTCATTGTGTCTTTATTTCTCCTGGGTTTTTTACAGAGTTTTCCCCCACAGAGAAAGAAAGAGGAAGGAAAAGAAAAACAGAAGGGGAGAGGGACAGTGAGAAAGGGGGGGAGAAAAAAAATCTCCTGGATCACCTGTTGAGAGAAGAAGAATAGAAAACAAGCAAAAAAAAAAACCAAAGCAACATACTAAACACAACACCATCGCATTAATCTAGCTAAGTGTAAACAGCAGTAAATACTAAATATTCAATGTTGTTGTGCAGCACGCAGGACAGACAGCGCACAATGTGCTTTGAAGTAGCAGCCAAGAAAGGTGTAATTTAAGTCTACGAGCAGTGAACACCCGTGTGCATACCTGTGTGGATCAGCGCGCTTGTATTCAAATGGTTTCCACATGTAATGGTCTGCAAGAGGATGTAGCGAGCCATAGCCCCGTCCCCCAGGGCATGAAGCAGGCATGGAGGAGATCCAGGCCCCAGACATCCAGAGGCTCCCAGAGCACGAGAGCCCAAAGAGGACCACCGGAGGGGCATCCGTGCCACCCTCATGGGAAGGGCTGAGGATCCCCAGACGAGGCGTCACCCAGTAGCCACCGAGCAGAAGCTAGAGGGGGCTGCACCGGCGTGCCCGCCGGCCCACAGGCCCGAGGGCCCCCCGCACCCTGGAGGAGGCCTGACCGAGCAACAGGCGCCAGGCCCCGCCAGGTAGCCACCGGGAGTGAGCCGGTACATACCTGAGTGCCCAGCCCCGGACACCAAGAACCACCAATGCACCGACCCCTGAGGGCATCAGTCACCGGCAGGGAGTGTGGTGAGGGGAGATAGGCCTTGGAGGGCCTGGGAGTTCCCAGAGAGGTGGAGTCTAAGACCCGACCTGACATATAGACACAGACAAACAGGCACACACAGACACAAACATGCATTCCCACCCTCATGCACACATATACAAACACTCAGCACTCACCCAACGTAAGGATTGACATAAATGGACATGTACACACAATCACACTCCCCAAACATACTCTATACCCCGGGTCCAGGTACCCTCGCCCCCAGAGGGGGAAACAGAACCCAGACCCAAGAGATGTTACCCTTCCCCCCGGGGTGGAGGCAAGCAGACCGTCCCAGGCTCCGCAGCAGCAGGGAGGCCAATCGGACAGCTAACATCTCCTCCCAGCCCCCCCGCCCCAATGGCTAGCAGAGAACGGGGGTGTGTGAAGACCCCATACCTCCCTCCTCCCGCTCATGTGTAGTGTTGCTGCGTGTTGTTCTAAAGTGCATTTAAAACAA